GTCCCAGCTGCTTGGGAGGCTGAGGCAGGAGACTCTCTTGAGCCCAGGAGTTGGAGGTTGCTGTGAGCGTGATGCCATGGCACTATACCCAGGGGGATAGCTTGAGGCTCCGTCTCAAAAAAAAAAGAAAGTCAAAGAACTTGAATAAACATTTCTCCAAGGAATATGCAAATGGTCAGTACACACACAAAAGAATGATCAGCATCATTAGTTATTAGCAAATAGCTAATCAGATGCAAATCAGACCATGTCACATACACTAGCATGGCTATAAATAAAAAAAACAGGAAATAATTTCTGGGAAGGATAAGGAGAAATCAGAACTTTAATACATTATTGTGTATTGTGTAAAATGGGACAGCTATTGTGAAATTCGATTTGGCAGTTCCTTAAAACATGAAACAGAGCATTACTGTATGACCCAGCAATTGTACTCTCAGGTATACAGCCAAGAGAATAGAAACATGTTTACACAAAAACTTGTACGCTGAAATGTTCATAGCAGCATTATTCATAATGTCCCAAACCTGGAAACCACACAGATGTATGCCAACTGATAAATCGATTTTATAAAACTGTAGTATATCCATGCAATAAATGTCATTTAGTTATAAAGAGGGATCAAATAGTGATGCATGTGACAATGTGGACAAACCTCAAAAAAACTCTTTGCTAATTGAAAGAATCCAGACACCAAGATGACATATTATTAATTTATGATTCTATTTACATAAAATGTTAAGAACAGGCAAAGCCATAGACACAGCAAATAGATTAATGGTGGTCAGGAGCTGGATGGGAGAAAAAACGGGGAGTAACCATTTTTAATGGGTAGGGTTTCTTTTCAGGGTGATGACCATGTTCTGGAATTAGATGGGGATGGTTGCACAACAGCGTAAGTATACTAGAAACTGCTGAATTGTAGAGTTTGAAATAGTTATGTAGTGAATTTTATGTGATGTGAGCTTTATCTCAATTAAAACACTATCTCTCTCACACACATATACACAGGCCTACAGAATTTACAATATTAGAAAGTGAATTGTATATTCCAATTGAAAGTGCAATTCACAAAAATATAGGTATGATTATATTCAATGGGCAGCTAAAAGTGTGTTTTTGAACAGGGTTTGAAAAGGTCATTTGCATATTCCTTTTTTAGACCTAGAAAATAAATGTTTTATAGTAGTTCTAATATCACTTAGTCCTGGAAACAGCCAGAAAGACATATTCAAATGCTAGGAAATAATCACCCAGGCTCTGTTTTCTAAAGCAAAACTGAAAGTCCACTGATCTCTGACATTTGATTTTCAAGGTTATCTATATTAGTCAAACTTGGTTGATTATGTAGATGACTTATCTGCATTTGTTTGTATTGTTTTCCTCTAACTTAAATAGTAATTCTGAGGTTGATCAAAAAAATATATTTTTATAAGTATGGGAGCATTATTTTGGTATACCAAGTGCATATATTAAGATTAATGCTTTAATTTAATTATAATAATATTCATGTTAGTTCTTTTATGCAATAGTTATCATATCAACTCAGAATTTCTTGTTACCACCTAATATTATGAAAAGTCTTAAAAATTAGAGTAGTTTTGAAGAAAATGATGTAAATACTTCTGGTAACATCTAAGGTTAATTTCATAATTGAAAGAGAGTGAGATTTAATTTAGTGCTGAGTTATGTATAGTTAGAAAATTCTTCCTAATCATACCTGCAGAATCCTAATATTTATAGCTCGCCTCTGAATGAACTTATCCTTGATACTTAGCTACACATCTTATTTATCTTACTTATCTAGTAGTGCTGTTATTATTTAATGCAGTGCTATACAAAAAAATGTGCTTCGTTAATTATAGGGTTTGATGTAGAAGGTTTTTTTCTTTTTAAACTAAGCTTGTTTTATCCATTTAGATGTTATGTTATCAAATAAAGAAAAAACATATGATCTATTCATTTATTTGCTCATTAATGCAGATTATATAGGTAATGGCCCATTCCTGGGCAATAAGCTTGAGTGAAATATTCCTTTTTCTCTTTCTTTTGTTTCTTTTTATTTTTGTCCATTAAGTAGCCTTCCAACCATGGTAAAAAAAGATTATGCATGTAGATTTGGATTTTTAAATTTAGCTTCTATATCAGTGATTGTTTATATTTTAAGAGGCCCTTATTTCTGGATGGTCTATGTAATATAGTAGGGTATATAAAAATTTGTGCTTTCTGTTTTTTTATAGATTCTACAAAGAAGTTAAAGGATGTTCTTCAAGAATTCCATGGTAATGGTGTGCTTGCAAAGTATAATCCTGAAGGGGTAAAACTTCTTTTTTCTTTATATCAGTTTCATATCCATGCTTGGGGGGGGTCTTACTTAATGAAGAGTTCTTGTAAATACACACATATACATATATATATACACACACACCTATATATGTATACATGTATATACCTATATATGTATATGTGTATATATGTGTGTATATATGCACACATATATACTTATACATATAAATGTACCTCATGTACCATAGACCATTTAACAAACACCATAAAATAAACAGAATATAATTCATAAGGAAATGCTATTCTGGAGGTGTATTAAGTGTTGTACTATATTTTTCATTCAAAACATTTTGCTACTGAAAAGAACTCTTCTATATTGTGTGCTTGAAATAATATGGATCACGTAAATATAGTAATAGGTTCTTTTCCTAAGACAAGAAAAAGTATTAGATAAAGAGAAGAGAGAGTTTGTCTGTTTCTCAGTCTTTGACCTACAAATTTTAACCCAGAATGGACATGGACATGGAGCAAGGGGTTACATCTTTCAGAGAGTTATTTCCTTGAGCAAAGAAAGATTTTGTGCTGGGTATAACTGGTCTGTCATTTTAAGGAGCCAGATAGGGAATTTCTTTCCCCTATCTTGTGTTTAACCTATTGCCAGTAAGCTTAAGATTTTCCTTCTGTAGGAAAACCTTGCATGTCTTATCAATTGCTTTAGAACACCATGCTTAAATGAATTCTTTTCCATTCCTAATTATTTGTTTGATCCTTCCATTAAATATCACTTGAGATACATTTTATTTGAAATGTTTCATCATCATTGCTGTTAGTTCATCTGTAGATTCACCAAGTCATATTTGGGCTGTATGAGGGGCTGTATTGAATTCTCTTTGCAAAAGACACTTTTGTCTGGGTGTGTCATCTAGATAGATTTGTTTTCTGAATAAAATGTGATTTCTTTTTTGTTATTATTATTTTGTTTTTGCATGTTTTACAAGAACACACTTCTTGGTTATCTTTCAAAATTGTACTTCTTTGGGATTTATGGAACCTTATATTAGTTATCACAATCCAATCTCTGAACTTCAACCTCAAAACGTTTATATCTTTTCAAAATTTTTTTAGTATTTCTCATCAGCTATCATATTGTATTCCTTGTTCTCTCTACATTATGAGACGTCATTATAAATTTTTGAACTCTTTAATCTAAGATTTGTTTTCTTTTTTTAAAAATAAAAGTAATATTTAGTGCCTGTAAGTGACAGAGAAAATAAGGTAATTTAGAGCCATTCTCATTTTCCTACATCAGAGGAAAACAAAATTTCTGGTCTACCCTCCCTCACCTTTTATTTTCCTAGATGATGAAGAGAAAAATGTTGGCAGGTATACTTTTAGAACTGAAAATCTCAAAGTCAAAGAAAGCAGAGTGAAAAATGTAAAGATAACAACTGCATCGAATTGTTGTGAGACCCCCAAAATGTCATTTTTATATTCACAATGAAACTTAAAAATATGCATGCTTACCTAATCTAGATGGATATTATTTTAAAGAAAGTCTATCAATATTTTTATTTTTCTCCCTAAAGGTAGTTGCTGACTATGCCTTCAGTTAGAAAGTGATCTTGTTTACAGAGCAGCCTTTTGGCTTCTATGAGGTTTTACTTAACAATAATAGTCTTACTTCTCAAGACTTAGTGACATTATATATTTCATGAAGATTATCAGTCCACATACACTGGATTTATTAAGGTAATTGACAGATTTGATGTTAGCCACATATACAATGCTACCCTTTTTAATAACATAATACCTCTTCATAAACTTATAGATCTGCTGTTGAAATGCATTTTTTATAATAATGTACAGTTGAAAAACAAAAAGCTAGAACGGATTATGACTCAAGAGCAATTGTAAATTAAGAATGAAACCAACCGCTCTTTGATCTTATACTGATAGACTTTCTTTGAAGAAAATAATGTTAAAGTTTATGCAAATAGGAAATAATTAGGAATATCCAATGGCGAGGATGAAATTGTTAAGGACCTGGAATCCTCTTCAATATATTACCTCCTGTGATTTATAAAAAATTTAGTCTAACAATAGGAAAGAATTCCTACTGCCATTCCCATGTGGAAGAAGTTACTGCTCTCTACTGACTAGTCAGTTTGGCCCAGACTTGTTCAGCATGAATGACCACCAAATAATGCTCCATTATACAGGGACAATTAGAAAAGCTTTTAATCCGGCCTGACCTTAGAATGAATATTTACACTCCTGTTTTATAAAATGAAGATATCTTATATCATTCATAAATAAAGTTACTTGCAAAGAGAGATTATCCATTAAATTGCTTATCCTCCTACAAATAAAGCTGTTGAAATGGTAGATGAGTTTTATTTGTTTTCTTTTTTTTTTTGCTTCTACTTCATTTGAATTACTGAATTTTAAAAATTCTATGTATAAAATTTTAACCAAAAGGAGATGAGACCTGTTTAATGTTATTTTAATGGAGAAAAAAATGTAAGTGTTATATGTGGATGAATCATTTATTTTTAATTCTATCTTTTAGTTTATGTATTTATTTATTTATTTTTGGAGACAGTCTTACTCTGTTGCTTAGGCTAGATTCCCATGGCTCACAGCAACCTCAAACTTCTGGGCTCAAGCAATCCACTTGCCACAGCCTCCTGAGTAGCTGTGAATACAGGTGCCTGCCACAACACACAGCTAATTTGTCTATTTTTAGCAGGGATGGAGTCTTACTCTTGCTTAAGGTGGTCTTGAACTCCTGACCTCAAGCAATCTTTCCCCTTTGGCCTCCAGAGTGGTAGGATTGCAGGTGTCAGCTACCACACCCAGCCCTATTTTTAATTACAATCTTTTAAATATAAGTAATAATCATTCTTTAAAGAAATGAATTTGAGAAATTTAAACAATAGCCTAAAGATTCTGTAGGAATCAAAGTGTTAAAAAGGACTGGAGATTCCTAAATTAATAACATGCTAAAGGTTTTAAATGCAGTAACTCATTTTAAGAAAAATAATATAACTTTTCCAACATTAACCAGGTAGTTCATGGTAGTAGCTACGGTTAAAACCGAACTTCTGGTATCTCAATTTAAGAGTGAGGTCTTTGCTTGTCACTTAATTGACCAGGCCACTGGATGAGAGGAAGACACCTGGTAGATAGGAAGAAGAGAGAGACAAAGTTTGAGGGACGTTGCTTACCTAATGAGTGTGGCAGATGACAGCACTCGTAATTATTACTGACTCCGGACTGACAAGGTCAGAGGGTCCTATTAGTTTCCACCTAATCGTATGTGAATAATATAATATTAAGAGTATGATTACTGTTAGTTGGTAGCAGAGGTGCAGTCTTAGTGAGAAGGTTCACAGTGAAACATAGTTAGGCTCTAAAATTAATCTGCTGAGGGTAGTAGAATTTGGGAGTATGAAAAAGAACCCGTTTGGTATTGCATGCAAATTTTTTTTGCCTTGAAGTTCACATTCAATTCCAAATTGTGTCATTGACATGTAAAAGATGTGAAAAAAGTATAGAAGTATATAAAGAAAATATAATCTTTAAGGGCAAAGAGAGAGATTGGGTGCATTATACTCATCGAAGGAAGACCCTAGAAGGGAAGAATAAAGTATTCATAATCTATTTTTATACATACTGGTATATTTTCATGAATTCTTTCTGAATGATTTGAATCATACTGCATGTGTTATGCATTATATTTATCTCATGTCAATTTGAATTGTTTGCTTATTATAGTCAAAGAATGCTCTAGTCATTGGTTCTCAGATTTTAATGTGCATCAGAATCACCTGGGAGGCTTATTCAAGCGCAGATTGCTGCCTGCCTCCTGCCACCCCTTAGTTTCAGAGCCAAGACTTCTGGGGTGGGGCTCAAGAATTTACATGTCTATTAATTTCCAAGTTTATGCTGATGCCAGTGTTTCAGAACCACATTCTGAGACTCATGGATCTAGGGTATGTTTTAAAATTAACCTATGAACTTGAACTTTTTGTTAAACTCTCAGAGATATGAGATAATGAGTATACGTTCTCGTACATTAACACATGTATTCTTTCTTTCCTTGCATGCACAGAAACAAGACATTCTTAACCAAGTAAGACATTTTCTTTTCTATTCAAACCTGTCTTTTCTTTCTTTATTCTGGTATAAGCTATGAATTTCTCATCCATATCACTGAGCTATACTTCTGTACCAATAAGATGCATATTGTATGCACGGTTACCTGTAATATTTATGAAGTTATAATTGAGGTCAGTGGGACAAACTTTTTTTAAAAGAGAGCTTCAAATGGAGGAGCTGGTACCTTTATAGAATCTTTAAAAAGTGTCTCAACTTCGGGCTTCGGTTTTCTAGACCCTGGGATTTACTTTTCTAATTTCACCCAGATATATCAAGCTCTTATTTAAGAATCTAATACCAGTCTTAATTTTTTATTTACAATGGAGGATTTAATTATGGTATTTAAAATGCAACGATAAGGACGTTTTTTGTTTTATTTTGTCTAAGGTGCTGCCAGAAACTGTGGGGGGAAAACAAGTAAAAAGTTGCTGATTTTGACCTCATGGGAAGAAGAGTAACCAATCTGTTGCTTCAACCACTTTGTCTTAGTAAAGTTTACTTACTGTAAAGAAAGGCTTAAGTCAATAGTTCAGTGGAATGCATAGAATTACAGCTATTTGGGCGCACTCCAGATGAATATTTCTATCACACTAGAGTAGCTATGTTAATTGTCTTCACCACTTTAAGGATATTTCTTACTAACATGTATCTGTTGTCTAAGATTAGGATTGTTTCCCTTGGGCAATACTGGATCCAGACTAGCTGCTTCTAATTTCCAGTATTGTTTGATGGTCTCAGTTACAACAAACACTAATACTATGTCTCATGTTAAAAGTACCATTGACTCCATCAGAATGACTTTGGCAGATTTAGGACTTAGATACGGGGCCTACATTTTACAATCTTCTGGATGTGGCGCTGCTAAAATGG